AAAATCTTCAGCTTTACAAGAGTAGATTTTATTTATATTACTAATATACGGAATTTTATTTCTAACCTTAGAAAACTTTTTTTCTCTCCTTGAGTAATTATCAAAACACTTCAGTTTTTTTTTTTTTTTTTTTTTTCTGTCCCCTTCCTTGCCTTTAAGGTTATACGGGGGTTTTCCCGGGCCAGGGAGTGTGGGCGGGGATTTAAAAACTCCCCCGGGCACCGGGACGCGAACTCGTGACTTTTTTTAATCAAATCTCATGTATCAGGTTGTCGGGCAACGGCGGTGCAGTGCACACGCGTTAGCCCATTTGGCCACCTCGCCCACACAAAACACTTCAGAGTATATATTATACCATATCTTATTACGACAAACAACAACAGACGTTTAATAATCAGTGTCTGTGTACTTCGGTACCTGGATGATTCCATATCCATTACAACGAAGTCCATCCACTATTTTCGCTTGCGGATGCATAAACGTGTTTTCTTTTTAAAAAAAAATGGTTTGTTCAATTAGGCACAATGTATGAGAAAATCAGGGAATCCTCTGGAAATGGTTCATTGTAAATTTCATCAGATTCCATTTAACAATTAAAAGTAACATAGAGATGAACCAAATTTTTACAAGAATTTCTGTGTAGAGATTGCAATGATACATGTTTGCTTAAGAATTCAGTTATTAATATTCATCCTTGTGAAAATCCCCCCAAAAAAATTACTTATTCATCTTATCTGAAATTCCTGTCAAATTTTGTTTTATCTTTTAAATTGATCATTCGACTACTTACCCATCTCTAAAAGTAATATAATTTTTAATTTTCGCATTTAATGTGAAATATAGTAGCCATCATAATCATAAAGTAATAGGAGATTTCATGAAATTTTCAGAGATGGTGAGAACTGATACAGTGCAGTATCCAGTGAGATAGTGCAGTATCCATTTTATAAAATTTCGCCTCTTCATTCGTTTCCTTTGGCATGAGATTTTCCTTGGCAAGATTATACTTCAAAAACGAAACTCACTACGGGATTAATTATTTTCAAACGTTATGTCAAAAACATGTTTCTTATTATTTAAGCATCTTTTTTTTTTCTTTTCTTCGCTATCTCTATACGAGATTTTCCCCGGCCGGAGGATGAGGGCGGGGAATTTAAAATCCCCTCTGGCACCGGGACACGAACTCGTACTTTGTTTCAATCTCAAAACTTGGTTATTTGGTTGCCGGGCTACTAGCGGTGCTGTCACACACGTTAGCCCATTCGGCCACCCCGCCCTTTATTATTTAAGCATCTAACAAAAATAGTGAGAAAGCTATACCGACCCAACTTGAAAGTTTTTTTTTTTAATTTTTAACTAAAAATATTTTGATCTGTTAACCCGTTCGAGACATTATTCCATTATATATTTTCCCAAATATTTTTCCATTGTTCTCGATCCCTGACTTACTCTTAATCCCTTGTCTCGCTATATTTTCTTTCACCTCGTCTTACCTTTGGACTTCCTTCTTTCTTCTACTTACAGGTCCATACTTATTTTTAGAAATATTTCTTCAGACATTTTCTCAACGTGACCAAATCACTTTATCACCAATCTTTTTTCTTCAGTATATCCTAAAATGTTCTATTTCACCTCCGTCAATTCCATAATTCTTTCCTTTTTTCCAGCTCTTCTCCATGAGTCCATTTTCACAACTAGCAATCTTTTTCGGTATCTGGATTTAATGACCCATGTTTCCGAGACATCCGAATTAGTTATTTAAATAAATAGAAATATATAACGATTTTTATATGTTATAAAACGATATTACAGAAATAAATGCAAATCGTAACAAACATTTTTACATCAGATTTGAGCGGTGAATCGATTCAAGCGAAAAACTTAAGCTGTAACGTCCTTGGTTTAACTACTTAAATAATTTCAGTTGCATAAGACGAATACTTGAACAGTCAATCTCAAAAAATTACAACCAGATCACTTTATCATATATTTTAGATTCATCAAGTAGTAATTAATTTAGAAAGTAAAATTTAATATATTATCTTTTAAGCAGATTTTCCATGTTTGATCTTTTTATCTACTATGAAAGCGATTTGGGTTGGTTTTGCTCATACTTGGATAATAATGTAGATATTTAATGTTACTTTTATGCAGTGATCACTGGAACTTCTGGTTTGCACATTTCCCCGTTGGACGGCTTGAAAGGGAAGCTGCAATGTTACGTCATCCCTTCGGTTTGCCAGGACGCTCAAGGAAAACTTTGCCTTTTAAAGAACATACTTTCCAAACGGATTCCGAGTAGCACTTGCTCAACATTGTCCAGATTTCAATGCCTATCAGGGAAAAACTCCTCCAAACTCTTGGAATTTTAAATACTTTTCCTTAAATGATTAATCTACCCTTCGAAAAATACTAAATAACTGCAAATAGTGTAAAATACTTAAGACGTATTATTTTCCTCATAAGATTAGGTAAAAACATTCCTAATTCCTTTTTCAGTAACCCGGGTCAAAGTTTGCAATACAAAGTGAATTTACAAAATAAATATTTATGTCCACATATCAACATAGATAACAACTCTTTAATATAAAAAAAAAACAAAAAAACTATTAGCTGTACCTCGGACTCTACTTAGACAAAACACTCCCTAGGAAAACACAAACGAAATTTAAAAGAATAGAATTGACAAGACGATGTAATCAACTGTCAAATCCCCTAGACAGTGTTGCCCAAAATCGGTCTTGGTCTTGAACTTTGCAAGCCCGCCTAACTGTTTCAAGACCAAGACAAGGACTGGTAAAAAAAATCGATTTTTTGAATAAAAATTAAGATGAAATAGTTACTAATACTTGACAATCTTAGTTACAATGTGTTAGTAATTGGTATAATCAATATATTTTGCATTTAATTCCTCTAATTTTTCATTCAGGATTTAGTTAGTTTTTTCCTATCTAAAAAAATACATTAATATCTCTACAGTAATAAGCTAATACGTAACTGCAAGACTTTGCGAGACTCTTGGGCAAGACCAAGACTGAGTTTGCAAGATCAAGACTCATATACTGAGAAAAATTTAGGCATCCGGAGGAGAACTTTATAGCCCTGGATCCAGGGACCAATCAACCTCATCGCAGGCAAAGGTATGATTCTAAATTGCGAAAGGGTATCTTATTCTGAGTAAGAAAAACCTTGTCTGCCGTTACAGAGCCGCTGGTTTCAAAAATGGCGACTGATTTAAAGAATATTAGGTCAGTAATTTGATTTTCGAAACGCGAAAACCATTGCAAAAATTTCTTTATTTTTTTAATTTGTATATATGGATTCAGACATGTAAAGAACAAAATTACTAACGCGGACCACAAAAGGAAACCTTTTTACAACCAAAAAAGTCATATTTTTTTTATTTTTTCACATATAACTCCTAACCATGCATCAAAGCGAAAGATGTACTTAATCAATTAAAGAATATTAAACTGTGTGTCGAACGAATACATAAACTTTATAATTTGTTACGTGCTAAGGTTTAAAACTGCGGTCAACCAACGCTGATTTTTACCAAGTTTATCAGAAAATGGGTCGAATTACTATAAATGGCCCTGAAACTTGAAAATCCCTTAAGGGGAACAACCCATAGAATCAAAATTAAAGAGCATACAATTTTGCGACCAGTGAGTACTAACTAATTTTATGTAGATCACTAACTCCGAACAAAATCAGTAATCTCCCGATGGTTAGAAATTAGTTATGAAGGTAAACGTGATTTTCAATATTTCAATAGTATGAGTGTCTATTCTACTGAGCTATTTCTGTTTAGAGTCTGTTTCTTGCAGGATAAGCTTCTCTTCCACCTCTCAGCAGCGAAGGATTTTGAAAAACGATGTGTCGAAAGTTACAGAATTTCATAAAGGAATAACGAATCTCGATTCCAGATATATAATTGGTGGCTAAAAAATTTTAGCGCTTGTAGTTGTTTAAGATATAGGTTAAAATTTACACCATGGGACACACACACACACACACACACACACACGTATATATATATTAACCTATGTATTTATCACTCACATTTATTAATTAGAACAACTTCAGTTTAAATTGTATTATAATTATGAATAAGTGAATTGAAACACCACTGTTATATTAATAATATTTCAGTGCTATCAACTTTGAAGAGGCGAAATAAGATAACGAACGCAAAATATTCTGGGAAATATTACCTGAGAATTATGAAATAATTTAAGCTAATAAGTAATTTGGCAAACAATTTTCCCGACCAAAGGAACAAAGTGGGTGTGAATATTTTTTTAGGGAGAAACAGAGTTGAAATTTGTATTTCACACCTCGATAACACCCTAAAGAATTTTCGTAGCATCCGAAAAATAATTTATTTTTGTCTTAAATTTTTCACTTAGGCTCAACCCTAAGTCACGAAATGTGTGATAACTTGGACGTTATTCCACCTATTCACACAAAATTAGCTGAGATTTTTCGAAAGATTATTAAATTCCCTATGAAACAAAAAAAGAATTCCGAGCATTATGATCACGTTGAACTATATCTCCACACTTTAATAAAGAATAGTTTATAGAAATAATGTCACGATTCAACTCTATTCACACACTTAAAAAGACTATATGGGTTGAATATTTGTTGCATACCTTCAACTATAAATAAAATGAATTTATTAATTTCCATTGTTATATTTGAAGAGATAATTGGAATAGAAGATATTTTGTTCATTTAAATTTAGGGATTACGTTAGTTCTTTACATATCCGATAATCAATGATTGTAAAAATTCGATAGTTTTAGTGCAATTCACCTTAGGCAATAATAGCCAACATTATTACTTTAGACTGTCCTTCATACTTACTTTTCCTTGTTCATGGGAGATAATATCATTATAGTGAAGTCATGAGGATATCATCGAGGAAAAGCAAGATCGTGGAAGTGGTGGAATAGTTATCGGTACACCCACAGTAATGATAGTGCAGACTATAGTGGGGCTCAGTAAGGCAGTCGTTTCAGTGTTCGTTGTTCGGCAACATGTTCATCTTCGGAGGTTTCACGAAGAAAGTCAAGCTACGACCTAGCGATGTGTCCATCGACAATTTCCTCTCTAAGCTCCACTACCGCTTCACGTTCGCGCTACTCTTGGCCTGTACCGTTCTGCTCTCTTCGAAGCAGTTCATCAAGCAGCACATCCAGTGCATCAGGGACAAGGGAGAAAAGGGAGGTGTCGTCGACGATGCCATAGGCACCTTCTGCTTTATATCCTCTACTTTCACCGTCAATAAGTATCACAACAGCAGCTACCGCCCAGGTGTCCATGTCGCCCAGTCCGGCGTAGGCCCCGAGCAGCCTGGTGACGAGTTGACCTACCACGCTTACTATCAGTGGGTGCCTTTCGTTCTCTTCGGTCAAGCGCTCCTCTTCTACCTCCCACACTACTTATGGAAGAGCCTGGAGAATGGGAGGATCAAAGCCATTGTCAGTCAAGTCAAGACCTCGATCTATACCGCAGAGGAAGACACCGTCATCAGCGGCTACAAGATAGATTCTCATGAGACGAGGCAGAACCGTGAGAAGCTCTTCAACGACATTTTCATCACCTGGGCAAGGATGAAAATGAACAGAGACTGGGCCAGGAACTTTATCATGTGCGAAATGTTATATATCGTCAACATACTTCTTCAGATACAGTTAATTGACCGTTTTTTACAGGGCAATTTCTTAAATTTGGGTATGAGGTGGATAAGAAATGAAAAAGAAGCTTTGGAGAGTGTGTTTCCGAAAATCACAAAATGTTCTTTTAACAAGTACGGTTATGCCGGGTCCGTCCAGAACCTCGATATCCTGTGCGTTTTGCCGTTGAACATAATAAACGAGAAAATTTACACCTTGCTGTGGTTCTGGTTCCTGATCCTGCTCGTCTTCACCACCCTGGGTACAGTGTGGCGGGTGCTCAGTTTTCTCCTCCACAACAACGGAGCCTTCAACAGGTTGGTCTGGGCAGAGGTAAGTCCTGGGCCTGCTCTCAAAGCAGCCGAGATCGAGATGATATCCAACAAGCTCTCTTTCTCGGACTGGTTCTTCATATACTACATCGGGAAGAACATGGATTCCAGGATGTTTCGGAGGGTGGTGGCCGACCTCGGCCTGTCCTTATCCTTAGGTAAGCACTTGAAGCCGATCATAGAATCTGAGAAGTCCAAACTAAATTCTGAATCCTATTGCTGATCTTCGTATATTCAGAATTCATTTGTTACATGAAATTCAGTATGGAGCTGATCGGTGATTCAAAGATTATATTTCATCTAAATAGGTACTTGAATGGTATCCGTTTAAATTATGTTTTATATCAGATTTTATTTATAATTAAGTTGAAGTAAGCCACAATTTTAACTTACCTTCAGTTGTTCTTTTGACTACATTTTTATTTGTTAAGTATAAGCCAAAACAATGACTAAAATAGTAAAAAAATATTTTATTCAATAATATAGGTACCATCAAGTATTAAAAAAAGTTATATTTATAATGTAAATAAAGTTTGTTTTTAATGTTATATTTTAATCATAATAAATGTTATATATATCCTAAACTTTTTTTTTTTTTTATCCATTATGCAACTCTTTGGTTTTTATTTAGAAAAATATCAATTAATCTGGAATTGTATTATATGGCATTTAGATTCTTTAATATATGTGTATATTATTCATATATTATTTATTTAGTGAGTGAATAAGTGAGTAGTTATTCATTTTCAAAACAATTTAAAATAAGTTCGTTCTAATCCTTAAACGACATCTATAAATATATAAAAATTTTATTTTATAATTTACAATTAATTAAACGTTGCTTTTTTTGTGCTGTTGTTTTTTTTGCTTAGTTTTAATTTTTTATTTTTAGGTTATTCTATTATATTATTTATTGTATATACTTTTGATTATTATTTTACTTCTATTTATTTTATATTTTTTGTACAGAAAGAGTGAATGTTATCCTACCTCACTATAAATAATGTCCAAGAGACAGATTGTTGTAATACTCAATGAAAAAGAAAAAAAAAAAATTAAACGTTGCGAATAATATCTATATTTCCTAATATTTAGTCGGCTAATGTGATTTTATAAAAAATATGGTTCTATTGTTATTTCCATGTTCTATTGCCAACGACTACTACTTCTTAATTATTCATTTTATTTTTATTAATTTTTTATTTTTATTTCCTTGGAAAATCTTGTCGTATGAAGATTCACAGAGAAGCCATATACTCTATTCTTTTGCATTTTTTTTTGTGTTAGTTTTTGTTGAATACTTACTTATATGTGAAAATAAGAACAAAGAAATTTGTTAAACGGTTGCGTGATATTTGTCTTAACATATTTACCCGAATTGTATTAAAAACTTAGATATTTATTTTGTATACAATTTAGACCATAAAAAATTTAAACTGTAGTTATTAAAGTGAAAAAAACTAAAAATGAATCATTAGTTAATATGTTTTTTATTTAATTGTGTTAATTAAAAATTTTACGTTACATTTATATTAATTATTTATGTCATTTTGTTCATGTTTATATTTTATGTTCATGTTGATTTGCTTGAGGCTGATTTTAAAGGGTCTATAATTGTGGACATATAACCAAGTATGAATAAAATAAATTTATCTTTCGTTCACTTAGCTATATATATATATATATATATATATATAAATATATATAGCTTTATATATACCTATATAATCCTATCAATAACTCTCTCTCTCTCTCTCTCTATATATATATATATATATATATATATATATATATATATATATATATATATTTTATTACTGGAAGACTTGAGATCTATTTTAGTTTTCGAGTAATCTGCATTGTAAATAATACGGTAGTATTAGTCCTTTTCTAATTCTCCATTGGCCCTACGATAGATTTTGATGGATGAGGTATCTAAGGAAAAAGAATTTTATCAATAAGTGACGAATTATAATATAAAAACTCAAAACCTTACTACAATTGTAATAAAAGTCATTGAAAAAATTAGGAAGTTTGAAAACTCGACGGATCGAGAGAGGATAAGTTTTCTTTTAAATATATTAACGGGGATATTATAAACCAGTCAAGTTCTTCAGATAATTTGGCCCTGCCTTTTAAAGCCCCAAAATATATTGTTTTTGAGATAACGTATGATCTCAATCTTATATGACCGATAATGGATCTGGATATAATTTGGAGTGTTTGAACTATATCTCTGTAAAGATAAAATGAAGTTGACCAAAAAGGAAAGAAATGAACGCTGAAGTTTGTGATAAGGTGAGAAGAAAATAATTTTTGTGGAATTGGAAGAAAAATAAAAATAAAACAAAACATTTTATAATTAATAATATATTGATTAGTATTCTAAATACATATATATTTTAAGAATTCTTTTAGAGATAGTGTTTTTATATTGTTTCAATAAATTTTTGAAAATGGCTCTTGGAGCCGAAGCGTTAAAAAATAAATGTTTGAAATATGTTTTAAATGTAAAAGAAAAAGGCTATGACATTTAAAATGGTTTTGATAATATATTAAAAAAATTGATAAAAAATAATATGAATAACCTAAATAAGGTTGTTTATCATATATAAATAAGAATGCAATAATTTCTGCAGCTTTAGTCCTATTAACCTAAGACAATAAGCGTTAATATATGTATTGATTTTTTTTTTAAATGTATAGGCCCAATGATTCCATTATAGTCCTATACTGACCTACATTTACTATTGTTCGTCCATAGTTTGTACTTTTTTCCTTGTCTGATGCAAACAGTACTATAACAGTGAAATCACGGGGAATATGTAAGAGGAAAAGCAAGATAGCTAGAAGTGGCTTAGACTTCTCGGTAGGGCCTCGCAGTAATGACAGTGCAGGCCGTGGTGGGGTCGGGCGGGGTAGGGAGCGAGCAGCTCTATCGGAACACTGTTTGTGCAACAGCTCTCCCACCTGCCGCTATCAGCTCCTGGCTCAGTCTCATCCTCACTATCGATAACGCAGCTTTCTTATCGATCGGCCATCTTACTTCTTATCTAGGAGGCCCCTAACGGGCCGATCCGCTCCGTTTAATCCGGCAGTCGTTAACCTGTTCGTCGTCCGGCAGCATGTTCGTCTTCGGAGGTTTCTCCCAGAACGTCAAGCTCCGGCCCAGCGAGATATCAATCGATAATCTGGTCTTCAAGCTCCACTACCGCTTCACTTTCGCGATACTCGTCGCCAGCACCATCCTCGTCTCTTCGAGACAATTCATTAAGGAGCACATTCAGTGCCTCAGCGAGAAGAGCGTCAAAGATGTCATCAACACCTTCTGTTTTTTCTCCTCAACTTTCACCGTGGCGCGGTATCACAATGACAGCTACCACCCAGGTGTCCACATCGCCTCCCCCGGCGTAGGCCCCGTGCAGCCAGGTGAGGAGGTCACTCACCATGCTTACTATCAGTGGGTGCCTTTCGTTCTCTTCGGGCAAGCGCTCCTTTTCTACCTTCCACACTACATATGGAAGGCTTTGGAGAAAGGTAGGATCAGAGCCATCGTCAGCCAAGTCAAGACCTCGATCTATACCGCAGAGGCAGACACAGTCATCAACGGTTACAAAATAGACTCTCATGAGACGAGAAAGAACCGTGAAAAGATCTTCAAAGACATCTACATATCCTGGGCGAGGTTGAAAGTGAACAGAGACTGGGCTAAGAACTACATCATGTGCGAAATGTTAAATATCGTCAACATATTCCTTCAGATAATGTTAGTTGACAGTTTTTTACAGGGAAATTTTTTGGATTTGGGTGTGAGGTGGATAAGAGATGAACAAGAAGTACTGGAAAGTGTGTTTCCCAAACTCACAAAGTGTACTTTTCACAAGTTCGGTAAGTCCGGGTCCATCCAGAACTTCGATGCCTTATGTGTGATGTCATTGAACATAATAAACGAGAAAGTTTACACTTTGCTGTGGTTCTGGTTCCTGATCCTGCTCTTCTTCACCTTGCTGGGCCTAGTGTGGCGGCTGCTCAGTTTCCTGCTCCACTCCAGGAACGGAGCCTTCAACAGGTTTGTCTGGGCGGAGGTGAGCCCTGGGCCAGCTCTCAAGACAGCCGAGATCGAGATGATAGCAACCAAACTCACCTTCTCGGATTGGCTCCTCCTCTACTATATCGGGAAGAATATGGACTCCAGGATGTTCCGGAGGGTAGTAGCCGACCTCAGCCAGTCCCTAGGCAGGCCCTTACTGTCCATCAAAGGGTCTGATGCGTCCAATCTTGCCTCCGAGTCCTACTGCTGATCGTGTATTCTGAACTAATTTATAATATGAAATTTTGTATAGAATTGGTCATTAGTTCGAAAATAATATTTTAGCTAAATAGATGCCAGAATGGCGTCCGTTTAAATTATGTGATTTCAAATCGAATTTTGTTTATAGAAAGTTAAAATAACTCGTTATCCAAATAAGGCTTGAGTTGTGGTTGACTGCATTTTTATTACCTATGTGATGTTTTATTCCTAAGCTTTATGTGTATATGAATGTAAATAATGTTTGTTTATAGTATTATATTTTATACATAATAAATGTTATATTTTTCCTAAACTGTTGTCTTTTTGTATAATATAACCCATTGGTTTTTTCTTTGAATTAACAATTGATTAAACATATTGAACTTCAATAAACTTCAACCAAAGTCTTATCGAACTGATAAGAATATTGTTGAGCAATTTCCAACTGATAAATAAACCGTTTATATCGATGGTTTAAATTGCATTTACTACAGTGGAACCAATCAGAATCTACTTAAGGAGGAAAATCATTCCACGAGATTCATCACGGCTGCCTGAAATTGCGTAATCTTTTTCTGAAAAACTAACCTCGGTGATTGTTAAAGAGGCGTTTGTTTAAATAGTTGCGACATTGGACCCTCAACCGAAGACCTCGGATAATAATATCTGTTGACTTTCTCTGTTTGTTTTTTTTTTAAATCTGAATCCCAAACATCCCTCTTTAGAAACTAAACAGTTCCATTCAATAAAAATCCATTTATCCTCTCCGAGTGGACCTTTAAATAATTAAATAAAAATACCTTGATCGAATGACATTTTCACTTGATCATTCAAGTCATAAATAAATTACCTGTTATATTATCATACCAGTATTGTTGGATTGGTTAGGAAAGGAGTACTAAAAACATAAATTAATTTTAATAAATTGAAAATTTAATTAGAAAACTAAAACTACATAAATAAAAATTAAAAAGCTATAAATGTTTAATAACCTTTTAATTCAGGGGGGGGGGAGGGAGAGGGAAAACTTGTACATTACCTCTATTTTACAATATTTAGAATATTTCAAAATTACATTATATCACTTTGAAAACACATTCCAAATCAAACTAATTACCAGAGTTCCTAAAAGTATTAATTATAGAAAATATCAGTTATGGTATTATTACTAACTGACAATAATTGTAATATTCTTCTGAAAAATATGAGGTATATATATTTTTTTTTCAAATAGTAGATATTTGTACAATATATTTTTATTAGTTTTAACTAATAATAATTTTAACTAATTATTTATTAGTTTTATTATATTAAAAAAAATAAATATAAGTAATGTAATAAAAAATATATTACTTGAAACTGTTTTTAACAAACAGTAAAACGCTGCTGATACTAGACTGGGGTTCTTCTGCTCCGAAACAAATTCGCTATTATCTATCGCCGCCTTGCGTTATTTTACGCTTTCTCCTCTGTTAGTGGAAGAGAGGGTTCCAGAATCGACTTGAGGAAAACATTTTGCCTGGAAGTACATCTATTTAAACTACATGATGACGAATAAATGTCGCAATTTCGCTATAAACTCGTTGTGGAGTGGTCTGTGATCCCCACAATCTTGTTTTGTTTTTTTTCAGAATCGTTCTATTTTTCTCAGAATAGTTTTATTTTTTATAATTCATGTAATTACATTCCTAAGGACTTCATTCTTGATGTTTAATAAATTTTATTTCAGAGAGTAAAACTCACATACAGGTCCTACTACTGATTATGTCCTAACCAAATAATGGACAATTTGCATAATCATTGTTGAACAATTGATGAGCATTTCAAAAAAATTCAATATATTCACTTTTAGTAAATTATTATGGAGACGTCTTACGTGGATAAATCAATTTTTTAAAGTAAAATTTTAATTAGATAGACCAATAATTTAATCTCTGGACTTTTATCAATTATATCTCTATTAAGGAAAGTAAATAACATATTCATTGAATTTAGTAAAAAATTATATATTTTATAAAACTAAATAAAATTCATATTAAAATATTCTGACGTTGTCAAGGAATATAAACTATTATTATATAAATGAATATGAACAGAGCCTATATGCTTGCCACTTTTGTATGGTGAACGACCTAGCTTCAAATCATGGTATTGTAAATATAAATTCGATGTTATCGATTTGAAGCTTAATTGTTATTGTTTTTCAATAACGTAAGAAAGATTCAGGCGTTCCTTCTTTATACTTAACCGGCACTAGAACTAAGTGTGAGTCCAGGACTTCTTATTGCTTAAATAGCCAGTCCTCTCTATACTTAGCGACTTATTACCGTTTCTGAGGTTAAGTAATCGTTTACATCTTCGTTCACATAATCTAGCCATCTTAACCTCATTCTTTCAGCTCTTCTAGTTGTGTAGAGCTCTTGCAGCAACTTTCCAGAAATCTCTTCTGGGTTCATTCTGGTATGTCTTGTCCATCGATGTCTTCCAACAGTCCGCGTCGCCGTAATGAAGCATACTTTTTCTATTTAATTGCTGCCTTTTGGCTGTTTGTTTGGTACCACACAACTAAACCGACCACCGCCTATGTTGAGTATTTAATTTTCATTAATGACGAAGCGAGGATATTGTGGAGTCGATTAATTAATGAAAAAGAGTTGTAGTCTCTCCACTTCTTTAAACTCTGCTGAGTTAGCGCTGGCAAAATAACCAAAATTACATTCGACATTGAGTCGCCTACATCCGTGTGAAATTAGAAGTTGATCTGAATATTGTGGCGGGGGGATGAAAATATTGGAGTATTTTCCCCTCTGATTTCCGGCTAATCCGTTTGGTTAATCCTAAAAATGTATACGACAACATTTGTTAGGCTCGGGAAGTTGAATTGACACCTTGAACGGGAAGATCGGACAAAGTTGAATACAGATGTTCGGTATTCCGGATTTTTCCCGTTGAGTTGTGATAAGTTTTTCCATCAGTTGAGCAGTACACCTTTTAAATGTGGCTCGCGGTAGAGAAGGTTGGGATTAAAATCGAAGTAACTGCCTAACCGGGATCTCTAAACTAATTACTCAAGAACTCATAACTTTGGTTCTACTCAATATTTTGTTTTCATTTAAAGCCTATATTTTAAGTCAAGCAAACCTGCATGCAATGTCAAAATTTCAAAAGTATAAGCCATTGCCGAGCTTACCCCTGACAAAATTTCGTTGGACAATGCGGACATCCAAACAGACAAAAAAAATTTTTAAAAGTGAATTTGGTGCCTGCAATGTATGAAACTGAAACATATCATAAAACGGGTTGATTCTATTCAATGTACAGACAAAATCATTATTTTTTTATTTTTTTTTTAAACTTATTTATTGAAAAATATTACAATCTGTCTCTAGGACATTTATAATAGAGTTCACAGATCACATCCACACTCTATGTACAATAAATAAAATAAATTATACAGAAAAATAGTATATATACAATAAATAAGAATAAAATAACCTAAAAATAAATAAATGAAATGAACACATACACACCCATATAATCTTTATTTTATTTATATAGATATGTCGAAATAAATAACTTCATATATATATATATATATATATATATATATATATATAAAAAAAAGTGTTAGGGATTTGGTGCAGCCAAGTGAGTAAGTTTGGAATCTGACTGTGGTAGGTTAAAGAAATGATGTTAAAGAAAACAATATTATTATAACAAAATATGGTTTTATTAAAGAAATAATATTACACTAATAAAGCACCTGTTGTTGGAGGTAAGAGAGGATATTTTGATGAAGAAAAAAAAAAAATATATAAAAATAAAATATTTAAACTAAAATCAATAAAGAAAAGAGGACTAAGCTAAAACCTAGATGTATTGAGCAAGTATTCTATCACGCCCTATGTTGCTGTTATTTGAATTTTAGTTCATATTCAATATTCAAGTATATATTAGAATATATATTCAATATAATAAAGATAATTAAATTTATATATACTTTAGTATTATTTTCTTCGTTTTATAATAATTATGTTGATTAAATATCACTCCCAATTCGTATAAATAATATAAACTACTGAGTTTTTTTTTCGGGGGGAAGGCAGGAGTTGGGTGATTAGGGAAAAGAAATTCCATCGCCCTTTAAGTAGAATGGAAAGCGCTCCTATCCTAAGTACTCAAACCAAGACCCTTAATGGGTTGTAAAATTACTCTTTTTTTATACTCTAATTTTATTGGAGTATTAAAATTAAAAACATGAAAAATAAAAGTTCGACCCTTAAAATTCTATGGGTTGAGGCGAATATCCTCTTTGCGTTCGCACTATTTCTGATCTTGGATCGGTATCGGACTGCTCAGTCTTACTCTATCGTAAATCTCCCAGAAACTTCTCGGAATCAAAGACTCGGATCCGATGAAGCATAGCTTCTTGTAGAGTATTCCAGTATGGACGTCACATATTATCAGGGACGTCCCCGAGTGATGTAATTCGCATAACACAACCGTAATGTAATTTCCCAAACCTATTTAAAACTTCGCTAGATCTATTTCCTTATTCTAGCGTCATATCACGAAATTTTCAAGTAATATATTTGTTTCCCGTTATCTTCGAAATGATATAATGTTTAAATTTAATTATTTCATCATATTTTTTTTCTGTATCTAATCTCACTTTGTTCTTTTTAATTTTTCACGTTTATTTTTATACTTATTTTCCATATCTCCACCTCTTTTTTGTATATTGATACATTTACTCATTGTATCTTAATTTTATTTTATTTTTTAATTCTCTTATACATAGTCAGTATTTTTTGATAGATTTTACAAGTGTCTTAATTCTTCCATTTACATCTATTATTTTTTTTTATATAACTTCATATCCCTTTTATTTGTGTTACGTTTTATTCTATTATTATCACACTTCCTTTTAGCGTACTTAGACATCATATTTTAGCAACTACATCACCTCATTTATTTTGTGTCTCCACTTACCATTTCATCTCATATATTCCTTTACATTTTGTTGTTAATTCATTTTTCATTTATTATGTTACCTTATTTCATTAGCCTCTCGCTTTGTTGCCGTAATTATTTATTTCATATTTTTCTCTTGCTGTTGTTATTTTATTGATGATTTCCTTCATAACTTTTTTACAGCTATTTTCTATCCCTAACTTTGTTATTTTTTTAAAGTTTATTCTACCTACTTTATTTTACTTTACGTTTTTTTTTTTAAATACATTGTTAGACTATACCTTTCACCTGCATATTATTGTTTTATTTTTAATGTTAATGTTTCTCATACCGATTGTTATCTGTTTTTTTCTTAGCCTTGATGAAGGCCTGAACTTTGGGCCGAAACGTCTGCACAAATAAAAATAAATATAAT